TGCACAGCTGTTGACCTATGAACCCATGCACAAAGATCAGGTGTACGGACTTGCGAATCTGGGTAATGGTCGTGGTACTTGTGTTTTGTGCAGCCAAACCTGCCCCAATGCCAGTGTGGAGTTCTCCTCATGCAATTGAGCATCTTGTTGGGTCAGATTTACGATGTCTCCCATTATTTCCCAATCATGCCAGTCATGATCCGTGGTCAGCCTGCAGCTATATCTAATGACCCCCAGAATCAAGATGACCCCATGGGGCCAGCCGCACTCCAAACGGAACCCCTACAAGGGCCTGAGGTTGAATCAAATCGACCACTTACAACAGGTCTTGCATTTGCTGCATAAGCCCTGGATGATGAACCGATTCGACCGTCCACAGGTCTCAGTTGTCTGCACAAACACACAGTGCCACATGGCATTCCTCACGAATGCTGGCCTTGTCCAATATGTACAACAGATTCATTCCTCCGTTGTTGAACCCGATCGTATGCCACAGGTCCACCGGAAGATCTGCCATGATGACGGTTCAACAGATGCTCAATGCTCCTGCACAGGAACTTCCTCATGTTCCGCAGAAATAATACGAGTGTCCCATATGCCAGGAGGTTATAGGAAAACCTTGTAAATACATCTTAGGTGTGAATACCAAACCATCAAATATGAAATCTTCATTTTTCTGCCGGAACGTGAGCCGACACTACTTTGGTCATTTCATCATGGAACAAACCTTGATCACCCACTTCAAAAGAGGTTCATGCCCTGTCCTGACATATCAATGGGCTCGTAAAATATTTTTTGGTCCTGCAGAGTCTGAATCCATGATGTCCTAACCTGGTCTTGATTCACCCGCCCGCATTGGCACAGATACTTCGACCTTGTTCACCAGGCCTGATTGGGAATAAACCTGCCGGATATTATTAATTGCTGGTTTCCATTTCTATACACGCTGCATTCGGTTCCATAGCAGAAATTGAAATAATTTAATCATACCTTGCAATGGATGACCCACTGTCCTACATTGTCTCAAATGGACTTCCAAATGGATCAAATATTTCAATTTGTCCATGCAATTCCTAATTTAAATCCGACAACCCAGAAACAAAATCCAAAGAAATGTCCGGCCGCAATTTACGATCCTTTTCCGTAGACCATAACGCACACGTTCGCGCGCGAAAGCCCACCCAAAATTTAAAGCGGCATCGAACACAAAAAATATCCCTACCTATTATGCGGCATACAAATCATAAATCTCTTAAAATAAATATCATAAAATTATCAATGTCCGAAATATAAAAATCAAATAATTATATATATAATATAATATAATAGCCTTTCCAAGAAACCAATAATCTCATCGAAACGATCTAAATAAACAATTTACAAAATCACATACAATCAAACGCCCTAAATTAACAAAATTCACCCTTTCAATTAAATATATTTATTCGAAATCAAAACCACATCGACATATATCATATCGTAATATATACTCAATCGACCACCAAAAATTAAACATCAATATATATAATCATAAACGAGAAAAGAAAAAAAACAATATTTTTTAATTTTAATAAATTCCTCGATAAATATATTAATATTTCATAAATATTTCGTAAATTCCTCGAATATATGTTATTTTGTATATACCATTATGTTTTATAAAATATATCAAAAATCTTTCATATAATCTTTTATAACAAATATTATAATATATATATTTAATTCAAAATAATCAATAATATCCATATCAAATATCATATATATATATAAATAGATTAATAACACATTCATTCATTCATCTTCCGGCGGTCGAGGTGATCCGCCCGTGTTGGGCCGCACAAACTAGTTGTGGTTCCTTCGTGAGGATCGAAGGCCCATCAAGTGCAAAAGGTCTTTCAACTCAAGTGCTCGGAGATGAGATTGCCAAGTGTGTCTGCCGAATGCCATGGAAGCGGACGTCTGGGCAAATTGCAGCCATTGGGGCCGCCCAGATCAGGTGGATGTTTTCATAGAAGGATCTATCCCGAGTGAGGCGTCTGGGCCTGCAGCTGTTGTCACATAGAAGGCCAGCTCCTGAGTTGAACAAAACGGCCTGGTAGTGGCCAACAACAGGTGAGCTACCGAGGTGAAGGACACCTGCCACAATCTGATGCTCCGTCCAAGTGATGGAGCAGTGATTGAAGCCATCGAAAACGGGGAGCTGAATGCGGTTCCTATCCCACGTGATGGCCTGACAGTGGCGGTGGTGCAACCTTGGATGTCGTTCCAGCTGCAAACAAACCCAGGAACTGGCGGATCTCAGCCCATTCAACCATGGCCCCTGGTGATGCCACTGCTGGATCACATCTTGTAGGGTCGTCTGGACCTCAGGCAAGTCACGAAGCACAATGGGGGCAATGAGGGAACCGCTGTCTTCTGGTGGTGAACAGTCGTGAATCCCATGCATGGATCGTGAGGATCCCTCCGGCATCAATTTCTTTTCAAACATCTGAGCTCTCATCCAACTTGCAAATTCGCCTGCGTCATGTCAGTCTCGGCATGAGAGGTGAACCATTCTGTGAGCATGCCACCTAAAATCGAAGTTTGGCATGGGTTGTGAGCCTCCCCAGCATGTGTAGTGAACATGCACAAAATCGGCTGCGTCCATGCGCCCCAAGTATCAAGCTCGAGTGGTGTCGTCAAAAGGGTGGTCCATACCTGAGCCAGCAAAGTGCTGTTCAAGTAGCACGTGGATCCTGGATTCACAAGGCTGGTCGTCATGATGCCTCTCAGGACCTGCGCAATCTGTGGGAGATTGCAACCGCTAGTGGCGATCTCTGCAACGTGGTCTGCCTCATCCTCATAAGGATGAGTTGTGTAATGCCGTTGCCGGCAAGCTTGAGCAGGAGCATATGAAGTTCCTGTGCTTCTGGTCCACGAAGGCTCACGTCCAGCCTCCATGGAATGGCTATGGCGGCGTCCTGCGGCAGATTGTCTTGCGTCAAAGGTCGTAAGGCTGCAAACTTCAGCACCAAATTGGGATTCTCGCCCAGCTGATGGATCCGACGGAGTGTCTGACAGACGTCGTCCGACGTCAGAGGAGTCTTCTGGTTCGGCTGTAGAGCTTTGGCTTCCGGGTTCCATGACAAGTATTGCCATTTCAGATCCTCGGTCAGGATCCCTTTGGCCTTGAGGCCCTGGACCAATGCGTCGTCTTTTGCCGTCAGGTTCAGCTTGCCGGCTCGGCTCTGTGAACATGGCTTGGAACATGGTCTGCCTGAGGGAGGTTGTCGTTTCCCCTGCCTGCTTCTGAGCGTTCCACCTCTTGCCCTGTTCGAGAAGGGATGGCATCAATGAGCCTTTGCCACATTGAAGAAAGATCATCAGGCTTCGATCCAGTCCTAGCTGGTTCAGTGTATCCTCTTGTCGAAGGACCAGTCGACCCAACATCTGGATCAGATTCCCCTCTCTGCTGTCTGAGGTGCTCGTAAATGAGGTCGAGTTCCGTTTTCGCTGCTCTCGGCCATTCTTCTGAGGGCCTGTGGACAAGGTCTCGTGTCGTGGCCTCTTGAAGCCTTCTTGGCTTGATCGTCCTCTGTCTGTTGCAAGTCCATCATCAGCAGGATGGGTCAACTGATGCAAGTCGTTTTGGGCCAGGATCTGTGTCAATTGGCCAAGTATGTGTTTGATGATGGCAAGTTGATCCTGTGTGCACTCGTGAATCGATGCTTCATGCCACTGCTGTTGAGGAATGGTGTCAGTGTCCAAGGTCCAGGCCCATGCAAGCGGCGGGTGATGTCCAAGTACACGAATCATGGCAAATGCCTGATCAATCACAAAGTTGGTGTGGAGCATCTCTGGAAAGTGCGAAAGCCAGTCAGTGGTGGATCGAAACCAGGTCACTCCCTTCAGTGGAGTCCAACAAGGTGCAAGTACCATGGGAAACCAAAGGCTCACAAGGTCGAATGCAGGAGGTGTTAAATCATATTCTCTTCCGGCCTGACTGAGATCGAAGAACCTGTGCAGCAAAGCAGGTGGTGTATGATCAATCTTGGAACGTCTGTGGTCTGATTCGTTTGTCAACGTGGGACCGAAATGCTGTGCCTTGGCCCATTGACACATCAGGACCGGACATGAGCCCCGTTTGAAATGTGTGATCAATGCCTGTTCCATGGTGAAGGTACTGTAGCAATGACGACAGGTCAGACTACCTTGAATCATGTCATGATCCGGAACGAACGAGAAGGCGCCTGTGTGGACAGCCTGGTGTTCACGGCGCAAGTGTGCAATCAGTGCTTTCCGGCCAATGGTTTCAAGGCACAAAGGGCACTCGAACTGCTTAGGTGCCTCAGGAATGGGTCCTGTTGGCTGGAGGTTGAGCATCTATTGAATGGTTCTGGACGTCTTCAACTTCTTTTGAACCTGAGCCGGAGGTGCTGAGGTCGAGTCACTCGGATTGGTGTCATGGCTTTCCTGCATGTGTTGGGTCAGACCGGTGGCAGTCAAGAAGGCCATCTGACAACGAGTACACTTATGTAAGCTAGTCGATCCACTGTGTCCAGCTGTGGTGCTGGAGGCTGATGTCTGGCGGACTGCACTCGAAGAGTCCCTCAGTGGTTCAGCCTGTGTAGATAGGGTCAAAACCGGACGAGTGGTCAATCGATCATCCTCTGGTCTGTCTTCTGGCAACGTACGGAGCGTGACGGGCATGATTGGGAAGTGTGACACGTCATAGGTCTGCCCTAGCATGACACTGATTT